CTCTTTTGATTATTTAGATCTAATTATCTTTTCTTGTTATCAGTGAGCAATCATGGCTGAAATATTTGAAATCCAGTACGTGAGATCTATGTTTCGCACCGATAAATTATGTTGTTTGTGCTGATTTCTTTAAGAGATGAAAAAGCAAATAATTACTTCAAAGCTGGAAAACGTGACGTTTTATTACATAATTATCAACTAGCTTGTGATCAGTTATCTAAAGCGTGCGATCGTTTGTAAGTAAGACGCTAGAGAATAAACTAAAAGGAAAGGCTGAGGTTTTAAAATTAACATCAGTCTCCTAAATGAATTTTCTGCAAAATGAGGGATTTGAACGAGTTTGTAAAGAGAAATGTTAAAAGAAAAGCGGAAAGTTGTATTTAGAATTATAGCGTGACTGAGTATTGTCGTTCGATCCATTCGTTATTAGAATATAAGCTTTAAATATTAAGTTGGTTTTGTTTTTACCTTCAGAGTTCAAGTTTATAATAGCGATACACATATTGAATTAGCTGAACCATACTTTTATCTTGGCCAAGCATTACTTGCTCTTGCACTTGGTGAACAAGCAGTTATCGGTGATGGTATCGCTAAAGGTAAGACATTTTAAATTCAAGTTAGAAATATGTAAGAAAGAATTAGATCGCCACAAATTATGCTGTGATTTTTTTTGTTTATGTTGGAGATTACATCTATGCATTTCATAGAAAGAAACCTTTGCAGACCGCTGACCTGTTGATATCCCTGTTTCAATTGGTAGGACTGGATTTTATGTAATAGTATTCGGACAATGTCGTACTAAACTACTTTTCTCTTCCTTTCTACTAACATAGTAAAAAAAAGGACTAATTTTTTCATTTCGAAGAAGAATCTTCAGATGATGAACAATCGGGTGATGAAGAAGAAGAAGAGGCTGTTGGTGAAGAAGAAAAAATAATTGATAGCAAAACAGATAATGTCAATACAAAAGAAAATGAAAAAACTGAAATGAATAATGGGCATGAACATAAAAATGGTAATGAAGTGAGTGAACTAGAAAAAATTGAAATGAAAACGAAGAATAATCCAACAGAAGAAGACGATGATGAACCTTTTCCAGATGATAGTAATATGACAGATTTACAACGTTCATTTGAAATCTTGGAATGTTGTCATATGATATATAAAAAAACAGCAACTGATAATAATCACTCGGATTATGTTAAATGTCGTTTGGCAGATATTCATATGATGTTATCTGAAATTTGTAGTGAAAATGGAGATTATAATTCGTCTGGTGCACATATACAAGAAGCGATCGATTTACAAGAAAAACTGGCCGAAAAAAAGAATCGATTATTAGCTGAATCTTATTATAAACTAGGTATAGTAAACAGATGTTAGAGTCAAGATACTTCCATATGCTGAACGAGTACTGTTCTTGATTATTTGGGGGTCAATTTTTCCGATATTATTTCATGATGAAATTCCTTTGCATCACGATTGCTTTTTCGGGTCATCACCGGGAACTATCATGTGAACTTTCCTGCAAAATCATTCCTCATCAAAAGCAAAACAGTCTTTTACTCAACGCTTGTGGTGTTGGCTCAATTCTTAAAAAGTCAGACGGCGTTTGTTCTTCTCATTTAGGTTGTATCTATGAAACAGTAGAAAAATTTCCTGAGTCTGTAGAATATTTTGATAAAGCAATTAAATTTATTCATTATGCATTAAGTGATTCAGTGTCCAAACCGGAAGAGGTCGAAGAATTAAAACAATTGCTGCCGTCAATAGAATCTAAACGAGACGATGTTAAATCATCAATTGGAGAAGAGCATCTAATTGAAGCAGCTCGAAATATAGTTGCTGGTCAACCAATTCCTACGAGTGCTACTCCAGCTCCTGTCCAACAAATAAAAGATATCACATTAAATATTCGTCATAAAACCTCGACAACAAATGGTGAACAATGCAAACGATCAATTGATCAAGTGGATAATGGAGATGAGGAAGATAAAACTAAAAAGGTTAAGCAAGATGGACAACAAGAACAAGTTGAATAAATAAATCTTGTATTGAGGTGTGATGTATTGTACTCATATTGTATAGATAAATAGGCTAGATGTATTATTTTCTTAAATTTGACTTTTTTTCATTCTTTCTTTTGTGTATTAGAATTACTAGAAAAAATTATTTTTACAAAAAAATATATTTGAGATTGATAGCTAAACAGAGCACAAGCAGAAAAAAAACATGTTATTTCAGAGTGGTTTGGATATGCGCGTATGTAAAGATGAGAAGCGAAAACTGACTACATTATCTGAAAAGATGATTTCAATGGTTATATACAATGTTTGTGCGTAATTTATCGTTTTATGTGTGGCATATGCAAAAACACACAGCTCACGAAAAGGATATCAATAAGTTGAAGCGAATAACGCTTTTTTTACATTCATTTTTCCTTTATGTGAAGTGAGCTATTTGAGTCGTCGGTTATTTTTGCTAGAGGAATTAAACTTATATAATTGTTTTTTAAGTATATGTTTAAGAGAATTATAAAAAACACATAGTAAAAGAACAATGACAGTAAAAACTGTGTAGTATGAGTGAGGGAATTTATCAAATTAATGCCACACATAAATGAATTCATGAGAATTATCTGTAAATGGCAAAAAAACTTAAATAATTGAGAACAAGACCGCTTTGTCTGTTGAGTCGTTAACTGCCAAATGAGATTTATTTATCACTGGTTAACACAATCTGAAATCCAAAAAAGAATCTACGACTTTAGGTCAAACGAATTGCTCATGATTTTGAATTGTTGGGAAGGTTTAACGTTGAATATTACAGTGATACTAATATTTATGATGAAAAGGGTTTATAGTTATGAATAACTTCATTATGATTGAAATCACCATACAGAATTGCTTCATCAAGTCTATGAATATGATGATTATCATGAATAAACGTTGATACAACCTGTTTATCACTATAATCCATTGTTGGTGGTAAATTTTTAATAACGAAATTTTCTGTTATATCATCGAGTTTGTGATTAATTAATTCGACATTTTGTTCAAGTAAATTTAAACGTTCAGATAATTATTGTAAACAACGACGTGGTGTACGATTCGATGATTTTTCATTTATTGAACACTCAAAGCAGTACCAATTTGAATACTGTTTATTTGTGGCAAGTTGTTGATAAGCTTGGTACGAAGAAATGGGCATATTAATATAACCAATATGAAACAATTTATCACAATTATCACATTGCATTACATTATCATTACCCTTTACTTTCTTTTTACATGAACAACTTTGATTTGATAATGCTGAAGATGTTGCTTTTTTATGTCCATGACTGATCGCTTTTGGATGGCATAACAATAATAAAAATGTAATAATAATTTATATGAAAAATACACTGAAGACAATAATATATATCTCCAAACACAGAAAAGATTAATAAACAATAATAAGTAGATATTGATCTAGAACAAGGGGGTGGGTGTGAAGTCTCGCATCTCTCTCGTTAATACGTGTTGATTTCAGAGCAGCGTTCCCAATACCTCTTTATAATAATTTGTAATATAATAGACTGAAAAAAGAATCTCACACAACTGAAAGTTGTGCCATAAATTAAATATGACTTTCTTTCTTATCAGACAAGTTGAAAAAACAAAATATATTAAATAAAAGAATTTAAAAGTGGGCAAAGTTTTTCAACGTACAAAGATGGTTATATGATTTCGGTTAAGGTACAAAGATTTAATTTTTTTTTACATATTCTTTTTGTAAATTACTAGCGAGTTTGTCAGTTCATAATGGAAGACAGAGAAGTATGAATTTTCCCTCACCGAATTTTTCTCGCAAAGTTTTTCTTGACCATGTTACTTATTGAGAAGTGCTTAATATTGCTTCGCACACGTGCGACATCTGCTGGTCAAGAGGATCGTCAGCGTCGATTAGCTCTTTTTGATTTATTATACGTTTAAAATCACTATATTGTCTAGATTCATTAAAACATTTAAAATTCTGCTTCTCTTTTTAATTTTCTATTACAATCCAAAGAGACGAGGGAGTTAATAATGGACGACAAGAAAACAGCTGTTTTGCTACCTGCAACTTTTACTCCTAGCTTATCTCAGGCGGTACGCAATTTCAATTGTACATGAAAGAGTTTCATGTTTGATTTCTTTAAATATTAGTAAATGATCAAAAGATCTCTGTTTAATCATTTTATTCGTAGTTCGTGAAAAGATGCAATCAACTGCTATTATGTCATATCCAACCGTAAGATTCAATGATATATCTGGTGCGATTCGTTTAGCTATCTCAAATTGGTCTAATGATGGAAAAGCACAATTGTAAGTGAATCTTATTGTAAAAATATCTTTCATTTATCCAACATAAATAAAACACGCCACATCCGTATAGAATGCTGCTACTACTCTAAGTTGTGGTTATCCAACCGAGACACACACACGTACATACTAAAACCAAATCTGCCACATGAAAAATTATGAAAAATTCAGCGAAACTAAGGTGTTATTGAAGAGGAAAAAAATTCAAACGAACCACAATAAAATGATGTTATCATGTTAAGAATAAGAGAGTTAATCCACTACGCTTTTGTCTGAACACATTTCCACAGCAGACATTATGGCATAATCATTCAAAAAATTTTCTTTCAAATTGAAAAAGTAAAACATATTTCATTACTGATTCTGGTTGAACTACATCGTCTGCAATTACAACAGCGTTTCAATGAACATTCAACATTAAAAATGAAATTACATATGAGTGAGATTTATAACATTTTGAATAGAATTTTTACATGGTTAAAACCAACGTATTCGTTTATATTTATTATGGGAAAATTTAGTCATTAGTTGTCGTTGTGTGTATCATCTTTATATTTTCAACATGCGGGATCATCTATAAAGAGTGCGAATGAATGAGTGTACATGTCGCTGTTTGTAACTAGTTTCGTCTCATGTAATTTATTTTCCGGATTTGGTTGACTTTTTTTCTGTAAAAAAGGAGTTTATGTTAGCCGTTAAACGGTTTTAATCTGCATCGTAATGGATGAATTACTTAAGGACTATCCTGTCAGAACTCTATTTTCGACACAAAATGCGGGATCATGACGAAATTTTCATACAGTCTAGATTAGATTAGAGTAAATGTTTCAGCTTGAAACCTTGAGTTTTCCCAGAGGTATCTCAAATTTAGTGGTAAAAAAGTAGATATTGTCATTTCCTAGATTTCTCCTCTATTTTGAGTGCCATAAGACTTGGTTTGGTCTTAAAATGGCGAGAAGACTTGCGACTATGTTTTAACAAAGCGGAATTCTCAAAGGTCTGTTTTTGTTCCTTTTACAGAGATTTTATCTCAGAAGTTCGAAAAATGCTAATTTTTTGGAACTTTTCCTTTCCCCTGAAACAAAAATAAAAATGCACGGCTCCGTTACTCATAGCCATAAGCCTTCTTGTCATTTTAAGACTCACTCTAGCTTTGCAACACTAAAAATAAAGGAGAAATCTGGGAAATCAACATCTACTGTTCGGAAAAGCGATTTTGAGAAAAAACTGTGTAGATGTACTTTCGGGCTTGTAGGAAAGTGCCTGCTGCTTTTTGACAGAAGGTCACACCATTTTCACTACAAAAGGTTACTCTACAAATTTACATGTTTAGCAAATAGTCTAATTCTATAAATATCGTGAAAAAAGTAGAATTCAAATATTTTGTTTTCGAGGTTGTCAAAAAAACTTCTTCCGAAAGTACGAAAATTTATCTCTGAAGCAGAAAGTGATATAGATTCTGAAAGTAAACATTTTGGGCTATCCAATCATGCATAAATCTCCAAATCAACTTTTTTTTATCGCAGGACTCTTAACAGAATTGTCTTAGAAACAGCGAGTAAAGGATTTGCCTTACATATAAGGTCGGAATTAGCAGTGTAGAGACGTGTATGCGTTAAAAAATGCAGCCCGAACCCGACTCAATAACAAGAAGCAATTCAACACAAGAAGATCTCTTTTGTATACAGCGATAACAATAATTAATGGCATTTATGGATGTAGTTGTTTTGAGATAGATATTTTAATTGAAATTTCAGTAGAGGATACTTTTAAGCCAAAGAACAGTGTTAATTGAAACTTCTATCTATATTTTGACAGCTCTGTAAAGAGGTAAATCCTCTCCCGATCCGATCCTAGGATGAAGTTGAGCTGGGTTTCCTTTCGTAGTTGCAGAGAACAGCACCAATGTTCTTATTTTACTAAGTGCATCATGAAAGTTTTAATCGTCCAAAGAAACTACAAGCTTAACTGTCTTCTGTTAAGAGAAGAAAGAGTAGAACATTGTGGAAAACACAGTAGGAAAAAAATAAAAGATGTACACGTTTAGATTGTTCAATAATGTTCCTGTTGGATACAAAGCTTCTCGAGAAAATCAGTTTGATGTATGTTTTTTCTTCGATGAAAAACTAGTAAAGTACTTGCTTAAGATCATCTCAGAAAGAACGATAAATCATATAAAAAAGAAGTTATTAGAGTTTTTATCACTGATCTAATTCGCGAGTCAAAAACAATATGCTATTTTTATTTGTTTTAGTGATCATTTATACAATCTACTATTAAACGAACAGAATGATAAACTTGAAGCTGAATTAGGTTAGTTGACTTTTCTATTTAAGAGCTGTGTTCTCATTAGTCTATATGTCTGTCTACTTTTTATGTTAAGCAACGAAAGAGTTGCTAATTAGTCTATGTAAATCTTGTTTGAATGGAAATTTCACAGTGGAAACAACCGTCAAAGCATTTACTGAACTACAGGTAATGTAGTTTTTCTCCATATATCCAATGTGCAATCTTATTTCTTTTTCAGGAAACATTATCAAACGATGCATTTGGACAAATATTAGCCGATGTTTTTGCTACACTTGGTAATGACCCATTTCGTCACCTTTACTATAATTTTAAATTTATATTCTTGTTGTTACTGTAGATATTGAAATTTCTCCAGCAGACGAAACAACAACAGACATATACAAACAAAAGTTTTTTCAGTTAATCAACAATTCGGAAGTAAGTTGTACCACATTCTCTAAGCTTTTATTTTGTTCAAGAGGAGTCTTTTTTCTTTCTGTTTATCTAGAGCTATAACTGTTTATTTTCTTATAGTAGAGATCTTTTTTAGAATTATAGTACGAATATAGTCTTCTTTCTTCTCTAGCACATTGTGTCAACATCATTATTAATGGAACGTTTAGAAATTGAAGCATTAGAATCACTCGATTTGATTGTTAATCGTGAAAACTTTAGTCAAAAATATGTTCGAATTAAAACACGTTTATTGTATGTTTGTATAATCTTCTACGTATGTGTATACTATATTCATTTTCTCTTCTGTGTACATAGTTATAAACAACAAAAGTTCAATTTATTACGTGAAGAAAGTGAAGGTTTTTCTAAAGCGTTAACAGAACTAAATCAAGATTTTACTTTATCGTTGACAACAGCCGATATTCTCTATGAGAGAATTATGGCGTTGATCGGCTATTTTGATATAGATCCCAATCGTATATTGGATTTAGTGTTAGAATCATTTGAATGTCAATTAAAACATTCACAAATATTCATAGAATTATTAAAATTACTCCATTATGATCAAAAAACTATATGTCAATTACTTGGGTTTAAATTTCAAACATATAAAGTATGTCTATTGGGAGAGTGAGAAACATTTTCTTTGAGATTTGGTATTTTTCTTCTTCTTCTAGAATCAAGATGAAACCCCCGATTCGTTATATCTATTAGCCGCCATGCTTATATCTAACAATCTAGCTAATTTGGATCAATTGTTGCCACATGTGAGTATTTCACGGTGGTTATTACATCTCGTACTAACTTTTCTATTCCATTTTATTTAGTTGAATTCGTCGATTAGCGAAATAAGTGATATATATAATAAAGAATTAGAACAAGCTCGTACTTCTAAAAAGACAACAGTTTCGTTAGGGACAATAACAACTGATAATAGCAGCAACAATTCAAATACAAAGTCGAAAGAAAACTCATTGGTATGTCTTGTTTTATGTGTGTAGTACTAGATATCGATTTTAATATATTTATTTAATATTGCTGTTTAGAAACCAAACGATCAAGTATTAAACTTATTGCGTTCATTATTGGCCGTTGGTGATTTGAAAAGTGCCAAAATTTTATTTGATTTATTCCCACGATGTGCTTGTACATCTTATAAAGAAATATATTCAACTCTTTGTAAGATTATTGATTATATAATTGATCCATTGTATAAAAGGTATGTACTGAATCACTATGTCAGAGGTTTTCATCTTCTTTGTCAGTTAGTGTTATAAGATAAATCTGAAGTTATTCAAAAGAGTCATCACAGTGACATCTCGACAAATCAAGCACGATACATACTTTCAATCTTTTCTGATAAAGCGTAAATTCCGGGTTATTAGCAGCGATTCATTTGTATTTTACCACGTTTTATTTTTGTTTCAGTCATGCTGAATTACATCAGAAATTTCTCAATTACAAAATATCATATCCGTTAAATGTTGTATATACGATGTCCAATTCTCAATTGACTCAATTATCCACATTTGATGAATTTCGTATTCAGATACTACCACTATTACTTCATTTGGGTCCGTATTGTCAAGATCGTCTAGTATACATAAAATTAATTCGTATATGCACAACAATCATGAAAACAAAGTATGATGATCTATCGAAACTTGACAGTAGTAGTGGAGATTCTGATGAACTGTATGAAAACTTACTACTCATTATCGATGAATTATTATTACCATCATTATCGTTAATGGATATGAATGGATGTATGGCCATTGAATTATGGAATTTATTGAAATTATTTCCGTTTGATGTGCGATATAAATTATATGCAAAATGGCAAGAAGATACATATAAACTATCAATACATTTAGTACAAGTTAAAAATGAAGTATTAGAAAAATCAAAAGCAATACTAAGGTAAGGAAGAAATACAATTAACTGTACAGTGAAGTATCAAAAACAAAAAAATGCTTGATGGCTTTCGAAAATCATCCAAATAATGTCGTAGAAGCTGATGGCATCTTTTATCGAATTTTTTTGAGAAAAAAAGATAAAAGGTAAACTATATTAACAGATAGAGTACACATTTCGTTCTTGACGGTTCGGCTTTAATGAGTTTCTGTTCCCCACAAATGTGAACTCAGATAAACAGTCAATTTTATATTCGGTTTTTGACAGCTATAGTGATTGTTGCCTTCCCATAGGTATTAATTTATTGTGCTTTCTTTTAGACGTATCACAAAAGACAATGTCAAAACCTTTAGTCGACAAATAGCAAAAATTACGCATTGTAATCCAACTATTATATTATCTTGTGTAAGTTCAAATCATTTTTCTACTTTATATGTAGCGTACAACAAAATCTGTTATAAAAACTTCCACCTAGAATTGAAGGTCATACTCTAGTATTATAGTTTCTCACTTCAAACATTTTTTTCGAACAAATCATCGTATCTCTCTCTATAGGACGATTCTGAAAAAATTTCATTCCAAACTAGTCTTCTATTCTGGGAAAAAATTTATGACAATAATAACTATGAGGGTGTCTGTTCAACTGTATTTTCTTTTTTAGATAATCGATCAAATTCAACGATACGATAATTTCATCAATGTTATTATTGATGCGTTAAAATATCTATCTCCATTAGCCTACGATGTTGTTTGTTATATGATATTACGTGCATTAACCACGATACCAGCCTCTTCATCAACGCTTCCACTCGCCTCAAATAATCTTGATGGTAAAATGAGTCGTGATAATGCCACACCGTCTCAATGGTTTCAAAATATCTGTACATTATTGGCGAATACTTTGAAAAAATATCCAATTGATTTTACATCTATTTTGTATTATATTTATGACCAATTATGTTTGGAAAAATCGTATGATTTATTTTTATTACGTGAAATCATAACAAAAATGAGTGGAGTGGAAATATCGGCAGCTGTCACCGCACATCAGTTGGATGCAGCGGCTGGTGGAGAACTATTGAGAAACGAAGCGGGAAATTTTACAGCTGCAAGAAATGTTAAAAAACCATCGATTCGACTAAAAGAAGCTCTTTTGGAAAATTCCATTTATTTACCATTATCAATCATCATTGCTCAACAACGAAATTGTATCGTATTCAAATTTGGAGCACAAAGGCATGAACATTTGAAATTAATTGGAAATTTATACGATCAGGTACGTCAACATGAATTATGGTACAGAGAACGAAATCGAAAAACAACGTACTTTTAAATGAAATTTATTTCAATTTTGTCTATACTCATTTCAAAGTTCGTTCTACTTTAGTGTCAAGATACAATGGTTCAATTTTATACATTTTTATCAAATGTGTTAACTAGTGAAAATTTCTTGACAACCTTTCCATCAATCAAAGATTTAGTGCTTGGATTTCATTTGCAAGTCGATGCGGCATTTCATATTTCGAGACCATTATTTAATTTAAATGTTCAGGTATGTAGTTTGTAAGCAAAACAACTTACATAGTTTACACATAATCTACTTTTTTGTTTTCAGGCTAAATTTGATGAATTAAAACAAAATAATATTACGTCGAAAGCTATGACAAAATCACAAGAAAAAACATTTTTGGTTAGTAACTGAGGAATATTTTCTACAAGATTTTTACTAGATTATTCTTGTATAATAGTGGTTTTTTTTTTTACAAAACTTTAATATTGAGACAATTAAACTAACAATTTTAAACATTTTTTTGCAAGCTTTCGAAGCTTCTCAGGATTTCCTGATAATGAAGCGAGAAGCTTCGACAGCAAAAAAATGTGTAAAATTGTTAGTTTAATTGCCTCAATATTAAAGATTTTTACTATTTATCTCTAGAATTCATAACTGTTTGTATCAATTCATTTTATGATCTCCAAAGAGCTTGATAGTGATGTGAGACTTATTGTTATATATCACTTTCATCATAGTTTGACTATGACTCATTAGATTAGAAAATTCGTTCCTTACAGAATGTTTTTCTCCATATAGTCAACCAATCATATGAGCACAGAAGTATGTCTGCATATGCCGCACATAAGCGTCCTGTTCTCTTCGTTCTTCTCTCACTTTGTCTCAGCTCATCTACGTTTCATTACACGTGTGTGCTAAAATGATCCGGACTCGACTCGAAGAATAGCATAGTTCGCTGTCATCACTGCCATCACTGGAACACAACAATGGAAAGTAGTCACTTTTTTATTTTCTCCTTTGTAATAACGAAGAAAAGTCCTGGATATTCATTCAAATCGATACCGTCATTTTAAGAGCGTTCACTAAGCGTTTCGATTCATTTCTGGATTAAATTTATCGTTTTATTTTTTTATTTATTTTTCATCCCTTTACAGAATGATATCAGATCATACTGTTTCAGTCAAAAATTAACGTTTTGTTATTACTATGTTGAATATTACGAAACAAGACAATTCCACAAATATTATCTGCTTGATTCTGTCAAAATTTAAAAAAGGAATATGTTCTTCAGTTGATTTATTTGTTTTAGACTCAAAAGTATATTGAATCTGTGAACTTTGTTATGTCACCTGTACTCGATATGGTTAAATCGTTACATCCAAAACGTACATGGGAGGAAATGACGTATGTGTTGCTATTTTTTACGTTGTTTTTTATTCTAAATTCTTATGTTTCTAGTCCTCAATTTTATATGACATTTTGGTCGTTGTCAATGTCTGATTTGTATGTACCAGAACAATCGTATAAACGACGTATTCAAGCACTTGAACAAGAAATGGTTCAAAATGATGACAGAAAAGAATTGGTAAGTTTACTGACGATTATTATTATTATTATCTATAAGTTGTCTATTTCGTCTTTTCTAGACACAAGCTAAAAAACGTAAAGAAAAAGATAAGATTAACAGTATTATTGATAAATTAGCTGAAGAGTTAATCAAACAAAAAGAACATGTTGAACATGTTCGAGCTAGATTAGACGTGGAAAAAGATGATTGGTTTAAAAATCGTAAGTCAGATTAATCTTAGATTATTTTCTTAGCTAATTTTTATTGAACAATATCTAAAAATTAGATACTTCGACTTGATGTATTTAAGATATTTTCGTTTATTCTATATCTACTATTTAATTTTATAAAATCTGTTTACTACTATTTAATTATTTTAGGTAATAGAACGAAAGCGGAAACAATTACCGAATTTCTTCAATTATGCATATTTCCTCGTTGTTTATTGAGTGAAATAGATGCATTGTATTGTGCACAATTCATTCGAATAATACACGATTTAGCAACACCGAATTTTAGTACAATTATTTGTTATGATAGAGTAAGCATAGTGTTACTGTATTCTTTATTTTTATATGGATGATTGATTTTATTTCTCTTTATTTAGATATTTTCTGATATTTCTTATTCATTGGCATCGTGTAGTGAAAATGAAGCAATACGCTACGGAAGATTTTTATTATGTTTATTAGAGACAGTTATGAGTTGGCATTCGGACAAAGTTAAATATGAAAAAGTAAGAAAATTATTAATTAAAAGAAGGTTTAACTTCTACTATTTAAGACACGTATTTATTTTTGCTAATTTGTTTTCTCCACTCTGTATAAACTTATTTAATATTTTCTTCTTGCTATAGGAATGTAGTAGTCATCCCGGTTTTTTAACAGTATTTCGAAATTCAGTGACAGCACCATCGTTAAATAAAACCATAGGTTCAACAACTTCATTGTCAGCTTCACAACAGTTACCTGAACAATTAGATTATGAAAATTATCGTCATGTTTGTCATAAATGGCATTATAAACTAGCAAAAAGTTTCATCGTCTGTTTGGATTCTACTGATTACATTCAAATTCGTAATGTTTTACAAGTATTAACAGTGTTATTACCCATTTATCCGCGAATAACTACATTTTACACAGCATTAGAAAGGCGTATTAAAAATATATGCAATGCCGAGAAAGATAAACGTCCAGATTTATTTGCATTAGCCAAATGTTATAATGGACGATTATCACATAAGTATCAAGATATGTGTGAAGAAAATCAATTCCATGTGGTACCAGAAAAAATGGCGCCAATTCAAACATCATCAACTAGTACGAATAAAATCGCTTCGTCTGCTAATAGTAATGCAACCGCTACTGGTTCAACGATAACTGCTTCTACAGCAGCAACTGTGACAGCTACAGTAGCAATAGGTCAACAATCACGTTCAACAACACCAACAATAACCAATGGGGTTATGACAGGTACGAAAAAAATCGAGTCGTCTTCAGTATCTAGCACCAGGATAGTACGTAGAAAACAGACAGATAGACTGGAGCGTTTAGTTGTGTTCTTCTACCAATATGGTGATGTAATACAAAGTTCAAGAAGGGTTAATAAATAGCAGTTGAGTGTGATTTTCCTGTTTCATATCAAAGAAACGCTTTTTTATTATAAATTTTGTCTTTTTTTTTCAAGCTAATTCAACGACAAAGCCATCATCGTCCGTTACCACCGATAAACAGCAGTCATCCTCTTTACCGAGTACCTCAATTCCTCCTCAAACACCCCCGTCATCTGCAACGGGATATAAACAGAAATCAGCGTCACCTGCTCCAGCTCAAATTACAGCAAAAACATCCTCAGTTGCATTGACCTCAACACCAGCCTCATCAAAAAAGCCGAGTGATACCAGCACAATAGCAGCTGTTACAGATGCTCATGGTACGCTCCTTTCCATTAACAAGAACAATAATTCTCTAGGTGATATTTCTTTCAATAGACCGTTCAGCGAAACTAACCATACAAAATGAAGCTACAGAAATCTCATTATCAACACAATCAGCCAAGGTAAAATTAGATCGGACACTGCATGGTCCATCTGTTCCAACAACATCTACAACACCGCCCTCGAATCCTGGTGGCCCATTACAACTGAAATCATCATCGACCGATCTTCAAGTAAAAGTAAAATCAGAAAATATCGATCCAAAACAGCAGTCAACTCGTATGATTAAACTGACCAGTAGTGGAGAAAAAACAAATAACAACTCAGAGCATTCATCATCATCTCATCATCAATCTCATCGATTAGACACAGAGAAAAAAGATAGTCGACAAAGTAACACCACAACAACACTCACTATCAAAAAAGAACCAAAGGAACAAACTGGTAGTTCAAATAGTCGGTAAGTTTCAATTAGAAACAGAATAGTGGAAAAAATGTAGCGAAAATGTAGTGTTTCTTGTTATATCTGTGAACCCCGAACTTGCCATTGTACACAAAAGAATCATTTTTTGTCATCTTGAGTACTCTTAGTCATAACCATTTTGATCGATATCTTTCCTATTCACAAAATTCTCTTGTGTGATTTGTTTTACAGACGACAACAGGCACCGGCGATTGATTCACTCTCACACAAAGACAAAGAACGTCGAACCGATTCAGACAACAATACTACGTCACCAAAAACTTTAACAGAACGAACATCATCTCTTCCTTCCTCCTCGACACGTTCAGTTGAATTGCCTTCTAGTCGACGTTCATCGCCAAGACATGTGACGACAGACGATGATGCGGCTAAAAGGTAAATATCTGCAACAGTGCCTTTTTTGCTGATTTCTTTCTATTTATTCTTGTCTTGTTAAGATCGGATCTCATAAATGGTTCGAAATTCTCATCTTCGTCGAATACTATTGATTCATCTAGTATAAAAGCTAGTCGTGGTTTATCACCCGAACCAGGTAATATCATTATTTTCGCTTTTTTTCTCCAATATAATAGAATACGAATAAGCTGTTCATATTATTTTTTAGTCCAACCAGACAAAAAACGACGCGCCGGTTCTTCGAAAGTATGTTATTTTATTTCTCTAAGTATCTTGGATAGCTGATTTTTCAATTATTGTATTCTTCGTGCGAAAGGAGAAATGTTGCAATATTTCATCTGTTTGCTCAAGTGTTAGAAACATTCTCTAAAGGATAAGCTTACCCTAGATAGAGGAAAAATTTTGTAGATTTCGAAGAACGGAAGAGAATTTCTAGAAGAATCCTGGTCATCTCGAATGTCAACTCTGAAATATTCTCTTAACTACATGCTTCGAAATTGATTACAAGATCGAATTGTTTTGATTTTAGGGTAGTGATCGTATTGTGACAAGAGGAAATGGTGAAACGACTAGTGGACGAGTTGAGCGTCATCGAGATAGAAAAAGTGTAAGTGCTTTTATTCTAATTACCTTATAGTATTCTATGTTTTCAATATCCTATCTTTAGGACTTTACTTCACCTGAAGTGAAAAAACGTATTCGTTCTCAGAGTCACGACAAGAATCCTTCGTTAAATTTGAGACGATTGAATAATACAACAGATGCTATCATCTCCAATAGCAACAGTGCGAACGATGACAACGATTCTCTACCTCAATTAGCAACCTCATCTTCACACCCGAAACGAATTAAAACAACTGCACCAACAGAAAATGAACGAGGTCACACATTAACAGAGCAACAAAAATCGTCATTTTTAAAAGAAAATGATAGTGGAAAGAAAGGCAGCCCATCGAAAAAAGTATGCTGAGTGACAAAAATCAAAAAGTAAATAGAAATGTGTTTTTATTATTTTAGGATTATCGTGAAGATCGTCATGAGCGAAATCTGAGAGCGTCATCATCACGCGATAGAAGAGAAAAATAGTAGGTATATTATAATATGTCGAGTAGAAAATATTTAATATGTGTGAAGAAAGCAAAGAGAAGAGCCGTATTATAAGGAATCATAAACTCGTAAAAGCATTTGCCTTATTTAGTATCTAATTGTCATTTATTTCTAGTAGCAAAGAAAAAAAATGAATTATCATCGTAAATGGACGGATCTGAAGAAATGAAACTAATACGGGCTGTGTTTTTTCGTTACACTGGCACAGTGTGAACTATATTATAATTTGAATTAATGCTGTGTTTGTGTATGAATATCGTGAGCTTGTGTCTCTAGTTCGCTCTCTTTTTTCTAAAAATATAGTAGTGAGCAAACGTAACCCACTACCTTATACCTCCAGAATTATAATAACTATTAATCTGAAATTATGTGGGAATATAGTTTGAGTAATGTGCAAAGTCTGACATGATCACTTTAGTCGTTCATCACTATGTAGCGATGACTATTAGAGATTCATGGTATAAAATTCATGTCTTAGCTTCTGCTAGGTAAAAAATTGAAAGTGCGTCACGATTGTCAATCACTTTTGGAGCTTTTTCGAAAAGTACCCAAAAGACGGTCAAAATCTATTGATATTTTTACAAAACACTGTCTGACCTAAGACTATTATTGAGCATTAAGTATTGGGCGAATTAGGATCTGGATTGAACGCTAATGAAATATCTCTCCTATAACAAACTTGAAAAGTACCAAAATGTGCAGTATATCGCACAATTATCGGAGTCTGGATTTTTGGACTAAAGATATCTATGTTTAGTATAGTAAGTAGTTCTGGGTACTTTTCGAAAAAGCTCCAAAAGTGATTAACAATCGTGACGCACTTTCAATTTTTTACCTAGCAGAAGCTAAGACATGAATTTTATACCATGAATCTCTAATAGTCATCGCTACATAGTGATGAACGACTAAAGTGATCATGTCAGACTTTGCACATTACTCAAACTATATTCCCACATAATTTTAGATTAACAGTTACTATAGTTCCGGAGGTACAAGGTAGTGGATTACTTTCGTCCAGTGTTATATCTGATTGTTTATTAATTTCTTTTTCTTTATTTTCATGTAAACTGTTCATATTTTTACTTTTTGATTCCGATTCAGAATATTTAAAGCATGTTTTGCTTGCTTGTGACTTTTTTTTCTCTTATGAGATAAAATTTTTCTTCTGCCGTTTGTTTGTGTGTATGCGTATGTGTATAACAAATTTTTCGTTTTATTTTGAAACGATTTAATTTTCTATTTACAAAAATTAAAAAAGTGTGAGCAATAATTGTTTTTCTGCAGTCGTAACTGAAATGTTGCAAATTTGTGAGTAATGGTGACATTTAAATGGTGAAAAACAGAACGTTCTATTATTTTCTTGCTTGATAAATTATATGTTCTGATCCTAAAAAGGTCATGGTAGGTAAATTCGATTTAAATTTGAGTTTCATTTTGTAGAGGAAAGCCTAACTCTTGACAAGTCTTTTGGAAATAATAATTATCGATCACCAGACTTTAGAAATGGCTCCTGGTAATATCAAGCCGATTATATTGAATGCCTTTATGGTTCAAACGAGTCTATCAAGAAATTTCACTCTTTACAAAAATAAGAATCAAACTACGGACAGCTTTGTTGATCTTGCCAAAACCAGAGACTCTCAGAAATATCCAAGTATAGTTTTATGAAAATATTTTTTCCCTTAAAACTATTTTGAGTTATTGAAAGTGCGTCATGCTGACTGACAAAAGCTAGTCTGCAAGATAGTTTTGAGATCGAAATGTGAAAAGCTTTACGAGCTATGAAAGAGTATTTGAAAGTCAAAAATGAAGAGAAGAATGAATTATATCCAAAATCTCATAGAATGCAGATCCTTACATTGGTTTCATCGCCGAAAACAGTTTAGCCAAATTCAATTTATACATGTTTACGCGTCTTTCTCGTGCGGTATAAGTCATATATGTGTCAGAGTGCCAAAAGATGAACTGAACTCGATCCGGTTTGATGTGACTCAAAAAAAAAAACGATTATGTATTATATGCCAACTTTTGAAAAATATATGTTTGTCTAATATGAAGAAAAGCATACATTGCATGTGCTGGATTGGTCTCAACCATTTCAAAAATGTTTTGTACACTATAGAACGACACATCTTTCACATATCTTTCTACAAATGCACCATGTACCTGTACATTTCTAAAAATATCTTGTCAGACAATATATTCCATGCGTCCTAAAATGTGACACGATTACATCATACCTCGAACAAAGACATATTGTGTCTTTTTAGACGACACATCAATTTTTGCTCTTGAATGTGTACCGAACAAATGTCCTGAAAACAATCACTCATCGAAATATGTCTTGTTACACGAAATATCGAATACTTCATCTATCTTTTTATTTATCTTCTTGTCACGTGACGATACATGCATATGATAAACGTAGAATTTCAATAGGAATTAGAACTTTTTTTCAAAATTTATGGAGACTCAATTTCAAACTCTTTGCAAGAAAGATGTTTGAATGCTAAGACGTGGGAGGGAGGAGGGCGGCGTAGGAGTCGTACAACCCCTTAATGAGAGCGCTGTAAAGCGTCAAATTATTCTGAAACTTAGCATGTGCATCAGATCCACTGAAAACGAAACAATAAAAATCAACATGTTTATACTTTCCGAATTAATCAAATAAACTGGAAACATATTATCTGTATGAACATCATTTTCTTGTGATGAATCAATCAGTCACACGTTCTGATATATCGCAGGGTACGCTAATATGCCTTCTCGAAGGGCGGTGCATTCATGTGCTCCATAATGTGCATTCTAAACTGAATTAAATTGAATTACGTACCCTAAAACTTAGTGTCGAATTAATTGAAAAAAAATGTGTCGTCTATAATGGTATGTTTTGTCACAATGTATCATATCATATATGGAACAAATATCCCTATGAAGAAGTTTCGGTCCAAATGGAATTAGTTTATCACTCATACTCTCTAGACGTACACGTTTGTCATAGATGTCGATTACAAACCTTTTGTTTATTTTGTCTCGTGTGAAGAATATAAAATTTTCTATCTTTGAACAATAATCAGTCGAAAAAAGTACAAATCAGTCGAAATTCACATTTTTAGCTTTCATTTTACTTTTCTATTTGGTTCATTCTCTTGATACTGAGATAAATTTTCAATGTAAACACGTTTCACACCGGTTAGCTAAAACGTGTAAATATATATATATATATATATATAAACAAAGATTTTTTTGTGTTTTTATCATGCGTCTATTGGCTCGAAGAACTTTTATTCCTAACATTGAGTGATGGTTCTATTCTTTTATCATACGTCTCTGTTTCTATAAGAAAGATGAAAAGAAAGTAGATGCTGACGAGGTACCATCTGTATTATAGTATGAAAACGCGTCACTAAAAATCTTGTAGTGTTCAAGGTAATAGTAATAAACTTGATAAAATCAACTTTTAGTTTCATACTTGATGCTTACTGTAAAAAGAGTGTACATTATTACAGTGCTGTAAAACAATATAAGAACGATTTGATCCTGCACAATAGCATCAGGTTTTTTCTTAAGAGGAATGATGAACAAAACAACATTGACCTCGATCTATTCGAATTCTATCTGAACATTCTATTGAAAAATATTTTAATTTTTAGTTTTTTATTCTTCAAAAAAGAAGCTTTTATAAAATATAACACGGCGAGAAACCATAGAATCGTTGTAGTTTTTGGTGTTTCTAGATATGTGTAACTGATTTTTAATGACATCAGTGAAAAGAGCATGAAAAACTGAGTACAATGAATATATTTTTAGTCTTAGAATCGTGAAACTTTGATGGTTTTCCAAGTTAGTTTTCTGTGGAATCTTCTGAGAGTGAAAAGCGGTGAAGCGAATTTTTTTTCTCCTTGAGGTTGCAGAATTCTTTAGCATTTAAAATAAATGAGTTAACCACGGTTACAAGCTTGAAAAGAAAAACCCCAGTGCTATATTTTAACGATACTTTTGTGGTACAAACTGACTTCTAATTTGTAATCGTGGTTAACTCATTTATTTTAAGTGTTAAAGAGCTTCATAGCCTCTCATTTTGGATAAATCTCAAGGGGAAAAGGCATACTTTCGACTTTTATGCATTTTAATAGACTTACAACGACTTAACTGGAGTTTAAAAGTTTATTAAACTCTTCAAAGTGTGCAAAAGTTCCCATAAGTGTCTAGTAGTTTGCGTAAGCCTCGCGTACAATCATAAAAGTCTCTATAAATTCCTAGAATTTTGGAGACCTATGTGAATTCAGATACACTTTCAAAATCCATAACTATGATTTAAGTGTGCTTTTTTTTGCCCGTGATAAATCTGCTCTTCAACATTAGAGATGAGAAAAGAATTTGCTTCACGCTCTCACCGATTTTTGAGTACTTTTAAACTCGGTATGGGAAAGTTTCACAAAAACCATATGTGGAGAACCATCATAGTTTTAAAATTCTAAGACTAAAAAATATATTCGTTGTATTCGGTTTTTCATGCTCGTTCCACTAGTGCCATTAAAAATCAGGTAAACATATCTGGAAACAGCAAAAATTATAAAACGGTCATATTTTGTAAAAAAAGATTTTTTTAGATTATATTTAGTTTAACCGTGATTGATTGTCTGCGTTTGAATGTTGATACTAAAATGTCTGAAAATTATTTATTCATAATCATCATTCCAAACGATTGGAATTTAGAAGAAAATGAAAATATCGTTGAAACTAAAGAGGTAAGTTGCGAATCTGTATACTCAAAGAATAGAACATTTAACTGCTGTTTTAGACTACAAAAAGACTTCGGAATGATGATGCTACAACACCCAAATCACAGCGTCCAATACCACGAATTATTACCGAACCGAAAAAATCCATATGCAAAGTAAGGAGTAACCATCAATATAAATTAAATATGGATTTTGTGACATACATTTCAATATTTTAGATTGTTAAACATTCTATACTGGAAAAATATGGTATAGACTACGTATCATTTTAAAACATAACTGGTTAATCAATTTTTCAAGTTTTTTTTCAGGTCTAGTAGAAAAGTCGCTATGGTTATTGTCAAACGATCAAAAATATTATGAAGTATGTAGCAGTCGAGTACCAGAGCCATATATTTTTTTTTGTATTTTTTGTCTCAATTAGAGGTATCTGAATATGATGTGCTTTTGTTACTAAAATGATACTACAGTGTTGGTTTTCTTCTTCTAGGTTACTTTTGTGTGTGAATTTAGCTCATTTTGTGAAGAATTACTTCATCAATTATCTGCAATTGATATTGGAATTAGAACTGGCACACGTGTAGCGTATGTTTGTTTTTTCTTGTTTAAACTAGTATAGAGTCATTATTTGCTTGCTTATGATAATTGTTTTGACTTCTTCAATTTCAATAGCGTTAGAATGATTCCGATTGCTGTATTTTATTTCAGCGTATTACCAGTAACATGTGCACTTGGTTATCGTTCACACGTGTCATCAAACTATCTGAAACCAGTTCCAATTGATCATCGTTATCGCCGACGAAATCAAAATTTCAATCATGGTCAACAACAAAATAATTTTACAAAAGTCGAGCGGTAAATTTTTTCCCTACGTTCAGTGTGAAAATAAAGATTGTTTTTATTAATAAGCAAATTACCTTAGCATGTTTATAGTTTGTCTACTCGTCGAAAATCGGTTCGTGAAGATTTTATGCAAAGTATTCGGTCACGTTTAATGGTGTTTCAAGTACGTAAAACATTCTTTAAAGTGACCCAATTTTTTGTTTAATTAACATTTTAGGTTGTTCAAGCGATCAGAAATCAATCGTCATTAACATTTGATTTTGTCGTACTAATCACATTAGCAAGGTAAATATGACGAAGTTTAACAAAAAAAAGAATATCATATATATTCCTCATATTTTCAGTATATTAGCGATGCTTGGTTTATTAGAAAATAGTTCTGTTATACTTGTTGCATCGATGTTAGTTTCACCATTAATGGTAAGTCACAAGTAATTTTCCTAACTCATTCACTCTTCTGTATACTTCTTTGTTCTAGGGTCCGATATTAGCCATAGTGTTCGGTCTTGTGATTCATGATCGTTCATTGTGGAAAATTGGACTTCGTTCAGAATTAATTGGATTATTTATTTGTGTATCATGTGGTATGTTTGTATTGGTTACTGATGATTGTCATCTTTAACCTTAATTGACTTTCAGGTTTCTTATTTGGTCTATGTACATCATATCGCGAAACAAATTGGGGTAGTTCAACATCATTTCCAACAGCGGAAATGAGAGCCAGGTAAAATTATCTTTCTTTTTTACAGAAAATTTCTTATCATATTAGTTCTGAAATTCTAGAGGTGATTTATCCCATTTATTGGTTGGTGGTTTGATTGCTTTGCCCTCAGGTGCCGGAGTTGCACTATCAGTTTTAGGTGGAAATGCTGGTCAGTTTGGTATAGCGAGAAAGAACTATAGGATACATCTACGTCTAATTTCTTTCAGGATCGCTTGTTGGAGTGGCAATCTCGGCATCGTTGTTACCGCCTGCAGTAAACTCGGTAAATATGCTGTTTTTTCTACTTTAAAATAGTATGATTAAATATTTTGATCATTTTTAGGGTCTTTTATTAAGTTATTCACTACTCAGCGCTGCTCTACCATTATCAATAGGAAGAAAAACATCAAATATAAATGAAACTTTTGTGAGTGATAATAAACGACAATCAAATCTATTGCATTAAAATTGAATTTTATACATTTTTTTATTAATTTTTTTAGTCATTCAGGCAAAAATTATATCCATATACAAGTTACAATTGTACATCGTTCGAACATAATTCCTATCGTTCACTATATTCTTGTTCAATGACATACGAAACATTGATATTAGCTGGTTGTAGTTTTCTATTAACTCTGTTAAATATACTATGTATTATTTTAATGGGTATTGTAGTATTGAAGATAAAAGAAGTAGCACCCACAGTTAAAATTCATCAATCAGATACGGATAAATTTTTTCATAATGATATTCGACTATTCAGAGATTACCATAAGACAATACATCAAAATGAAGCAGAGAAAGTTATTGATGAAGTAACAACAGATGATAATGATGATAGTACAAAAAAAGAACGATTACAACAATTAATGGCATTAGCAACTGTCTATGATCTTGATTTAAAAAGTGAAAGTGATTTAACATTAAATAATCCAATAGCGAGAGAAAAAGTTAAAAAGTTATATGAAACTTTATTATTGATTGATCAAGAAGCAAAACGATTAGATTTTGGACGAAGAGTACCACAAGGTCCAAATTCAATGAATATACAACCACCATTACCGAGTTTAATGGAAATATTACCACCAAAATGGACCGAACTATTTCAACAACAACATCAACATAAATTTGACGATGATAAACATCCATTATACAATCAAAATTATTATACCTATCATAACCAACAATTACGACCGAAAAATCAAAATTCTGTTCGAACATTGTCATGTTCAAATAATTTCTCTGTTAATTACGAAATAAATAATCTTGAGACACATACGAATATTGAGGAGCAAGATGAAGACAACGAATGCCAGGAAACACTTCTACAGGGAACACGGTTTCGTTTAAAAAAAGCAAAAATTAAATTTGAAGATGAACAACATGTATAAACTTGTTCTCTCTTTCTGTCCCTCTCGTTATAACTGATGTTTCAAATGTTAAAGAAATAGAATGCCGGTGCTACTCTTACTATTGGTGTAAACTTCCAATTCTTTTTAAGTGAACAATTTTTTGTCAGATAAGTCTTTTTTCTTAAAGATCGGAATATCCTGATCACCAGTTACTCAAATTTTTTAGATTTTTTTCTTTAAACTTTTTTTTTTATATATTGTGAAAGTAAAATGAAAATTGTCTTTTTTTTCGTTCCTATTGTAATCGAAAATTTATTAGTTTGTTCTTTGTAATTCTTATAGTCATGCTAATTGAAAAGAGAAAAAAAGATCTTTTCATATGAAAAGTCAAACATTTACGATCTACTGCTAATTAATAATCCTATTACTGTATATTACTGACCAGTTAAAAAATGAGTTATAATAGACAAAATTTGATTAATTTTGTTTTTTATTTTATTTGTTTAGGACAGCTTAATCATTTCTAAAAAATATCCTGTTTTTATCATATGTAATTACCGATCGAAAATATCGTACTCTAATAAAAAAACACTCACTTTATTGTCCATCGATATTGAAGTTGTTCAAGAAAGAGCCTGCGGTCACATATGATTGTATGTCTAATGACTATAGCTGTCATATACGAAAGAAAACGTAAGAAAGTTATCACCACAAGTTTTTGAAACTTCTTGGTTTGATTTACTCAAGATCTTGAACTTTCTGTTCACAGGTAAAAGAAATTCAAATAATTTTGACTTCTAATGGGAAAAAATTCGAGATATGTTACGTTTTTAATGGGAAGTCCTTTTATTAAACATTTATAAATTGAAATTGGACTTAAAGTTTCTGACATTAAATCTCTTTTTGTAACTATTATAGCATCAGTTCATTTATCTTGATAATGACTTTAGGGAAGTCGAGACGTCGACAATAACAAAAGGGGAAATATCTAAAATCACCTTGTATACTGCTGTAAAACTAATTTAAAAAAAATTCATTTTCATATATTTTAACCATCGGCCTTGTGTTCGGATTGCTTTTGCTTCAAAAGGAAAATTTTAAAAGTTCTATCAACAGTATATAACTGTATATTACTAATTCGACAGGTTTTTTAGAAAATTCCGAAGATCTTTAATTGAAATCTCAGAATGGGAAATAATTCTAACATTTCTAAACTGTAAAGCAGGCGAACCTAGGGGAGTTTTGGAAATTTGAAGCAATTTGGTTGCGTTTTTATTTGACTACGGTTACAGCGGAAAAAATGGAATTTTCTTAGAGTTATTTCCTCGAAATTTTCTGAAAAATCTGTCGAAGGACCGCTTTGGTTTTGGTAGTTCTGGTAGTGAGATCGAATAGAACACTTTCTCATATGCCCGTTCTTCAACTTTCATGGAGTATTGCAGCAGAAAAATGGAATTTTCTGAAAATTTATCCTTTGAGGTTTGTTTGATCCCAACAACCAAACAAACTTTGCCATGAGATTTCTTGTGTTCGAAAGCCTATGTTTCACGTGTTTTAAGGTTTTATGGACTTCGTATTTAGCCGATAGACAAGTCACCGAAGATTGCCTGCAGCACCAGAACCATGGGAGATGTAGACCTGGGATAAGATAGATAAGATTTTATTTTTACTAAAGTGCAGGATATCACAAAAAAGAGCAAAAGACTTGTGGCATCCGTGGATACCCTGTGATAACCGAAAACTAAAAATTTAAAAATAAACATTATTAAAAGCCTGTGTAACCTCTCAGCATATTTTTAAATGTGGCTAAAGAAGTTTGACAGGCTAAAACAGAAGGTAGTTCATTCCAATATTTTGATGTTCGCGGAAGAAAAGAACTAGATGCAGATTTTGACATTAAACGAGGAATAAACACGCGACTATCATAGCCTAATCGAGAACTTTGTTGACTGTAAAATCAGGTCAAAAGAGGAGAGAGGACTTTTATGACTGAAAATTTTATAGAAATAGAGAAGGCGGTAATACAGAGGTGTGTTTGAAAGCGGTTGAATTTTAAATTGTTTGAGCAGAGAAGAAGAAGAACTACTAAAATCTTGTGAAATGATCCTACTAGCAAGGCGCTGAATTTTATCCAAAAGTTCTCGATTTTTTCGATCCAAATTTCGAATTATTATCCGAAATTAAGTCTCGAAAATCGAGATATAAAATATCGATAATTGTGTAGCCGAGCCAATTCGTGGGCATCCAGTCGTGATCGGCATCCATCAAACATGGTATCACTGGAATTCCACGATTTTCAG